GCGGCCTTGTACCTACATTCCATGTTCTCATCAGGCAGGGACAGCGTCATCTATGATGACCTCCGTTGTCATCGCACACCGATACCAAGGCGTAATCCAAATAACCAGCAGCAACGCGGGTGATGTCGTCGCGGTCACCGGAATCACGTGACTGCCGCTACAATGGCGGCGTCACGGCTGCCACCGGAGCGGAGTCGCTGCCACTACAGTGATGGCGTCACTGCTAGCACAGTGGCGGCGTCACTGCTACTACAGTGGTGGCGTTATCGCTAGTGCACTGGCGGCGCCACTGCTGCCACAGTGGTGGCGTCACTGCTACCACTGTGGTGGCGTCACTGCTCCCACAGTGGCGGCGTCACTGTTCCTACAGTGCTGGCGTCACTGCTACCACAGGAGCGGTGTCACCGCCGTCGCCAAGTGTCCCTGGCACCCGGAAAGGCGGTCAGCACGGCGTGTAATTATTAAAGTGGGATAGTGTCACCACTGCCGTATTCCTTGGCAGCCGAGAACAGTGCGGTCTCATCGGTATTCCAGAGGAACCTCTGGCCGGTGCACCTAATCCGATGCAAATGATGCCGGAGGGAAAGGGCGGAGCGCGGGACAAGGGAGCACCCTGGGCGTTGGTCACATTCGGACATACTAATTGGTTCTGCTCCAGATACCGTGCCAGATCTTGCCCCCCCCCCCCCCCTCCGCCCACCCTCCGTTGGTGTCCGTCCCCCGACATGGTGCCAATTTCCGACCAGAGCAACAATGGCGCCCACTGCTCCGCGTTGCGGAAGGGGGACGGTGGGAAGGGGGGAGGGGTCGGAGGTTATAAGTGTCAACTGCTGCGGGTTCGTTCAAGCAACGCTGATCTTATGGCTGCGCAGGGAGATCAGTAAAGCAGCTTTACGGTGACTGACAGCGCGGATAATGCGACATGCTGGCTCACCTCCGTCTGATCACCTCGACCACCATCTACTGCGGCACTGCGACGTCCAGACCACCACGAGTGCAGCAATGGAACCCCCACACACGCATCACCGACGTGACCCGATCCAACACGGCGTCTGTTCTCGGGCGTGAGTCGATCCAACACGGCGTCTGTTCTTGAGCGTGAGTCGATCCAACACTGCGTCTGTTCTTGAGCGTGAGTCGATCCAACACGGCGTCTGTTCTTGAGCGTGAGTCGATCCAACACGGCGTCTGTTCTCGGGCGTGAGTCGATCCAACGCGGCGTCTGTTCTCGAGCGTCAGTCGATCCAACACGGCGTCTGTTCTCGAGCGTCAGTCGATCCAACACAGCTTCTGTTCTCGGGCGTCAGTGGCCTGTCCGACCGCCAGCCCCGCTGACAACAACGGAGGTCCTCTCACAGAGGAGCAGCGGTGCTGTCCGAGAGCAGCAGCAGCCCGGTCCCGTGACAACGGCGGTGGCCGGGCCCAGCGTGCGGCCGCAGTTCCGCCCTAGCCGCCGAGAATACCAAGCAGGCGCGACCGACCGCCGCCTGGTCGTTCACTGATTCCATTTCACACTTGAGAGAGCTGGCGGCGCGAGATGACCCTGCCCAACGGCGCCTGCGGGCGCGAGGCGGGGCCGACTACGGGACGCGTGCGGAGGCTCGGTCTTTGGCACGGCCCTAGGGGCACCGCGCCGGAGGGCGGAGGGCGCACCGAGCTGACCAGACCCGCCAGCTGCCCACCCGCCGTCTACATCTACCCGTGCCGGAGGGCGGAGGGCGCACCGAGCTGACCAGACCCGCCAGCTGCCCACCCGCCGTCTACATCTACCCGTGCCGGAGGGCGGAGGGCGCACCGAGCTGACCAGACCCGCCAGCTGCCCACCCGCCGTCTACATCTACCCGTGCGGCGGACGCCGGCCGAGCCGTGGGCGACGCCCCGAGCTGCGCGCTCCGCGATGGGGACGTGCCAGCTGGGCGCTTTTTGTTGTTTATTGGGATTTCGCGCGCGTCGACGGCGGGTGGTCATTTTGGCGCCCATTTCTCCGGGGCAGGCTCAAGCAGTTCCCGCAACCGGTGACCTCTTCCATGATACGTTCTTCTTTTTTTTTGTTGAAGTTTTGACCAAACATACGGCAGGGGTGGATTTGGTATCGGGGTCCTGATCAACCATACAACTAGATGTAATTTCTGGTAGACTTATTTTCAATGACGCACAAATGTTGCAGTACGTTATAAACGCACTGATCTCCGTCATAAGCACTCGTCTCAACAGATTCAAAACAGAGTACTTCCCGTCGAAATCAGTAGCAGCTCAGCAAGACCCCACGAGGCCTTGGCCTTAGCGGGGCCCGTAACGCAAGCACAAAGAAGATGGATGTAATCTAGCATTCTAAGTTTCAGTAAATAAACAGATTGACAGTTGTTGGCATCCACGATTGCGATGGCTCAGAGCTCCCCGCTGGAACGGCTTGTGGCGCGGGATCAGTATCAGTGACTTTCTTGTGAGCGTTGAACTTCGCCAGCTTTCGAAAAACCGCAAAACAGTGGTTGATGGCTGATGGCCGGAATATCGGCTTTGATGTGGAATGCTGCCGGATTTGAAAAACGCGTTACGACTGTGACGACTATTGACATTCACAGCACATCTGGTAAGCTTACCGCCCGCCAGCATAGGGGCGCATCTGGCAACCTGTTTGTTTGCCTGGCGGAAAATCTGGCGACTTATTCGGGGGGTCACGCCTGCGCGGGTTAATCAAACTCCGAAGCCCGTCGGTGGCCCCAATGGTGGGCTCATCGGCAGGCAGCGCTGAACACCAAATCAGCCCACTGCCGACGGCAGCGAGTGTGAGGAGCAGAGGTGTTCGTGTGACGAGGGATTGCTCACAGCCACAGAATAGTCGCCAGCCAGTCGGCAGTCAGGCAGTGTACACACCCCCGGGCTGCCATACTGTAATCCCTCCCCGGCAGCGAGACCGAACCAGACATGCAAGCGACGCTCCACTTCACCGCAAATCTCAGACTACGTCGTAGTAGCACCGGAGAAAGCCGTCCAAATCGACGTCGGCCGCACGCGAGCGCTCGTCTGCTGGCCGCCGAGCGAGCGGCGCCGCGTTCAGAGGTTTGTTTCTTTATCGGCGCACTGAGCAGGCAGCACGAGTTAGGAGCGCGGCGCCGCCGGTGGGCAGTATCATTAGACACGGACATTAAGCGGGCGGCACGAGCCGCTGCCGGCGCGCGGCTGGCGGGCCCGGCTGAATATAGCGGCCGCCCGGCTGGTCAGTCGGCGTCGGCGGGACGCCACCGAGCGAAGTTAGCCGATCGCAGGGAATGTTGCGACTCGGCGCCGGCAGAGCGGCGGACTGCAGCCCGGACTCCCTCTTGGGGCACCGTCGGCTGGCGCCGCCCCGTCGCAGCGCCGGCTGCCGGGCCGCACGCTGCAGCTGGAGCTGGAGCTGGAGCTGGAGCTGGAACCGCGCTGGGCCGGCCAAATCGCCGGCGTAAGAAACCCTTTGTGTGCTACACACCACCAAAAGAATAAGCTGGTTTTGTGCAAGATCTCGTCATAACTCGGGCGGTCTCATATTCAAACTGATGCGCTGGGACAGTTGGAAGGCGGCCATTAAACTATGCGTGCTTGATCGATCTCGAGTGGAAGGTGTTTCTGCGCTGCAGGGCAATGTGCAGCAGTGCGCTGCTGGTGTCGTATTTCAACCGAAGTTGCCGTAGGCGCGCCCTTAAATCTAGTTTTACAACATGCACACACACACACACACACACACACACACACAACACACCACACACACACACACACACACACACACACACACACACACACACACACACACACACACACACACACATATATATATATATATATATATATATATATATATATATATATATATATATATATATATATATATATTCTAAGTATATGTCTATATCACACTTTGTCTAAGACGTACTGAAGCGTAGCCACTGATCGTCATGTATTCCGTTATTATCTCCACGATCCGGAAACTCGACCACACGTTGGATCCTGCATAGCATGAACTAGCTCATTGCCGGAGCGTTACGTGCTAATGCCATGTCCGAACAGTGCCTAATATACTCAGCGGACATGCACAGGACATTGTGTGATAATATAATGTCCTGTGCATGTCCTAAGTTAAAGTAGGCCAAGTTTCCAGGTGGGATCGCAATGATCCAACCGTCGGAAGCTGCTTTGCTGTGTTTTCCTAGAAAATTAAACTAAATTAAGGAGCAGCTACTGTGAAATATTTGAAATGGTGCTATTTTGCAACACTCGAGTGCCGTTATCCATTAAAAAGGCATCACTTGCTGTGCCAAGTGGGATCGACTGTAATCCCAAGACAAGACACTATCCCCCGTAGCGCCGTCACTTCCAGTCCGGTACTTGAGAGCGTCAGCGCCGGTGTCCTCAGCGTCCAGCCCGGACAGCACGGCACTGGCCACCGAAGGTCTCACACCGGCCGGTGTCCTCAGCGTCCAGCCCGGACAGCACGGCACTGGCCACCGAAGGTCTCACACCGGCCGGTGTCCTCAGCGTCCAGTCCGGACCGCACGCACTGGCCACCGAAGGTCTCACACCGGCCGGTGTCCTCAGCGTCCAGTCCGGACAGCACGGCACTGGCCACCGAAGGTCTCACACCGGCCGGTGTCCTCAGCGTCCTAGCCCGGACCGCACGGCACTGGCCACCGAAGGTCTCACACCGGCCGGTGTCCTCAGCGTCCTAGTCCCGGACAGCACGGCACTGGCCACCGAAAGGTCTCACACCGGCCGGTGTCCTCAGCGTCCAGTCCGGACAGCACAGGCACTGGCCACCGAAGGTCTCACACCGGCCGGTGTCCTCAGCGTCCAGCCCGGACAGCACGGCACTGGCCACCACGGTTCTCACACCGGTGGCCCATGAGGGCAGCAGCCAAAAGAAGCCAGCTCGTGGCTGTGCCTTTGATTTCCAATGCGGCATGGCTTGCCACAAAGGTCGCTGGTTGGCTCTCCATCGCCGTTGATCTTCCCATAACAGACATATCCTGTTACTCGGCGTGCGTCGAGTCCGTCACCTCAGTCAACAGGACACCGATGTCGACGCGAGTCTTACGCGTCGGACCACGAAGCACTGAGGGACACGGCGCCCGGATCCGCGCGCGCGGTGTCGGTTTCGGCGCGTCAGTGACAATGTGTGTGCCATTGGCAATGATTATTTGCTAATGCTCAATAGAAAGCAGGTTATCGCGTTTCGTTCCTTACAAGGTTTCAAGTTTCTTCCGTGGGAATGGTACTTTTAATGTTTTACACGTGGGCATTCACTTTGAGCTGACATCCCGTGAAAAACTAGGTTTACAATAAAACAGGTTAATTCATTTACCGTTTCCGTGTCATGGTCTTAACTACCAGTGGACAGAGCATCCTTTAAATAGCATGATGTGTTGTCATGACGTCATGTGACCCACAAACTGAACTTCAGGAACATCAGGTATTCCTATCTCTGGTTTTCTGCATAGGAACCTTCATTTTCAATAAACAGTAGCTTAACAGACACCCGTGTACATCAGGCGTTGAGTGTTCCCTTTTTGTTTGTTTTTTCATATAATGTGAGGCGATGCACCGAAGATCTTGTTGACACTAAAAGCCCCAGATTTCAGGTTGGACTTGGACGGGGCAGCTGATAAGTTCTCTCGCGCATCAAGCCGAATGTCTCCTTTTGCATTTTGTCTGGCCAATAACTGGGAGCAGACCATCAGCAAGTCGCGAAATTGTCATAAAGGTATGACATTTTACGAGGCAGCTGATAGTGTCAATGTTTGTGGCCCTGATGCGCTGCATGAATGGGTTTCATTCCAGACATCGCGAATGAGGATCATAGCTGCGCTTTATCGGCGATAACATACAAAACAACCGGCACAGGTGCAATAATGACGAGATCAGATATCCTCCCCAGGTCCTCACTACGACGGAGGAACTGTCTCGGGAGAGGACCTGCTCATAAGAGTACACCAAGACCCACGGAGTTCGAGACACGCCGCATGAAACGCGGAGCGATCCGCGTTGTGCCCGTCAGCTTTGATATTGCTCATCACCTGTCATCCAGATGGTTGCCTCGCAAGGGAGGGTATGGCTAGATTGTTCTAAACACCAGGACAGCCCCTGACGTACCCGCGCCCAAGCAATAAGTTCTCAGACTCTCACCTATAAGCCTCTTCAGACAGAGCCAACCCTCTGTAAGAAGAATGTGACGGCCGAGACAGCAGCATCTGAATCTTTCTACTTTTCATCTGATGGGCCAACTTCTTTCTTATGCTGTCAGACTTCATCGTACACACCTCATGCGCATTGGCGACTACACAGGCCCCGACCACAGCTCCGTAGGAGTTGGACCCGCCACCTATCGGTCCGTAAAAAAGCACAGCTTTGTTCTGCTCCGCCGCACTCGGCCCTCACAGGACGGACATCGTGTTTCGGCGACAATGTCGTGTGTCTGCTGCGGCACTGGCAAGCCTGAGCCACGTGCCAAGCCGAACGATGCAAGTGTACTCACCACTTTGCCGACCTGTGCAACCTTGTTTTTGGCGTTGAGGTGTTCAAACTTGTGCTTGCCCGATCCGTCTGGGTCCTGCATCAGAGGAGGCGACTCTCAGAGGCTGCCGCCAGCGGGCATTCGACCGTCGAGTCTGCCCGGTCTCACAGCACTCGCGAGCGCGCGCGGCGGCCCTGCGGGCGGTGCGAGCGGGCATTCGGCACGGTGGGGGAGTAGCTCCCGGCATGCCATTCGTGAGGCGGCCTGCGGAGGCCTGGTGCACTGGCGCCGCGCGGGCTCGCACACCTCGCTGAATGCCCGGCGGGCACCGAGCCGCTGCCGACAATTCGGGGTGCAGCCGCCGGGCAAGATCGGCCGGCGGCAGCCGAGACATGGCGGCTTCATTAACAGCCCTTCCAGCAAGACCAGAAGCTGCCACGTTTCTGATAAGCCAGGGGCTGCCGTGAGAGCGAACGTGCGTGCTCAGGCTCCTGGCAGCGCAAACGGCACTATCGGCATGCACCTACACATCACAAGCCTGCCGTCGCCTAGACAAATTGCAGTGAGATGTATGCGGTCCACAAAGTCTGGCGAGATGAGCTTACTTTTCCATATGGTCTCATTTCCGAAGGTGACACCTATTACTGACTTGAAACTGGCCATGTTTGGAAGGGCTTAACTCCCTTCCGAAACGATTATGATTCTTGGCTGCGTGCGAGTTTTCGTCAGTCTCTTTTTCATCGACTGATCTCCACTGGCTACGTTGAATAATAGTAGGTGTCGCTCTTGGGCCTTGGATGGATGCGGCGGCACGGTGGATTGCAGACACCATGATCAGAATGTCAATCACACAACCAAAACAACTGAAACCTGCGGAGGAACAGGAGTGAGTATGATACTCCTGATGTCATCATTATGTATGACACGGGTCTAGCGATGAAATGTGTTGTGTAAACTGCGTTAATCAATTTGTATTTCAGGCAAGCTATCACAATCCGGTACAGCCTGTGACCCGAGTCAGGGAGTGATCGCGGCATCGGAACGCTCAACTGCCCTCATGTCATGTCCCCCATGGTTTCACCGCATTGGACGCGGCGGTATGACCAACGAGTCCAAATCCCATTAGTCAGCTCCATGTTCAAATCCGCGCAGAGTGCCTCTCACTGGGCTGTATGGCGTACGCGGGCCCGTGCGGGGTCGCGACACTTATGACCAGCATACCTCCGCAGGCGCCAGATAATCATAGAATCATCGCCGAGCCGGCAGGGTCTGCCCCCCCCCCCCCCCCCCGAATCGCAGATTGGTAGCGTTCACTACACCTTCGCATCTGATCGCACCGCGTCCCCCTTACCTGCAGGCGGAGGGGGGGGGGGCGGGCCATGTCCCTCGTCCGGCCGTTGTAGACGAGCCGCGTCCCGACATCCCCTACAGCCGAGGGTCCCGGGCACAGTGCAGACCTGCCCTCTCACCTTTAGCCGGGCCTCGGCCATGTTGCTGATGGACGGCGACTGTTTCTGGCCGAACAGGGTGCGGTATCGACTGAGGTCCGACTCGGAGGAGGCCGAGGCCTGCTGCACCCGCACGTGGTTCCGTGTCGCTGAAAAGCACGCCCCTTTCGTCAGCCAGCTGAACACGTTTAGCATTTGCCAGCTATGCACCGGATGCTGGGGTCTACACTTAGTTGCAAGGAAAAAATATTCGCTTTCCCAAACGATGTCACACCCCACCCCACTCCCTCCAAATAGCTAGAGGTGGGCTGGTTCTAAACAATTGTAGTATTCAATACAGCACCTATATTCGCGATCAAAAATGATTCCGTGCATTATGAAACGACTGACGTTACACCGAACCGAAATCATCTGCATTGATGCTCCAAAACAGCGCTGGGTGACCTGATGGCGCTTCGCAGTAAACAGTGGTGCAGTGCGACTGTGCATGCGGCAGGGGCTATGCTGAAACGGGCGCATATCTGTTTGTGCACGAGTATATTTAACACAAGCGGCACGTTTAGCACACAAGACCAGCTATGCGTTACTCTGAATAAATGCAAAGAGGTATCTGCATGAGGGGTTTAATGTGGAATGCACATCTTAAAAACAGATTTCCGCACATCTGAGAATTTCATGGATGCAATCCACAACACTTTATGCTCAGTTGAGGAACGTTCAATGTAAGCCACGGCTGGCAGAGAATGATGTGTGCCACGTTTCGCTCCTGTCTAACATGCTGCGCTGTTCTAAAACATAGCGCTGCTTACAATACGCGCATCAGTCCAGTGTGAGTGCATCCAATCCTGGATGATAGAAACTGCCGCACGTAGGTAGGCGCTGCCTGCCCAATGTTATGGTCTGATTTGGTGAAGCCCATATCGCTACAGCATTGTACAAGGCGGCTCGTTTTAGACGTCGGGAGGTGATGCTGGGATTTCGATCCGTTATAGTTGTCCAAATAAGTCTCCCTTGCTAGCCATGTCTCTGTACCTGGATATGAAAATATGCACTAACGCCTTTCGAAAATGACAAATAGCGGATGTAATGTCACCGCGCCAGCTGATCACAACAAACGACGCCCGATCGTAACAGACGACGCACGTAATCGCCCTGATGGGACTCGAAAATACGGCTCCGTCGTCCTTTGCTGTCAATCGCACGTAATTTTAACAAATTTGCGCATATTCTCCATGTGCATAATGCATGCATGTCATGTATCATACGAAACCCTCACACATGTGCCCCCGCACATGACTATCGCAAGCACAGTTTGACGCGAGGATGCAATGTTCATATGGGCGCATCTTCACCGTTAGCGCTCAGGGGTCCCGCTCGCACAGGCGGCAGCCGAGAGTCCGGCCCCGCCTCCAACACAAAGGTCAAGGTCGCCACCCAGTGGTCCTGCTCTCCAGGCGACAGTTGAGAGTCTAGCCCTGCCTCCAACACAAAGGTCAAGGTCTGTCCAGTGGTCCTGCTCTCCCAGGCGACAGCCGAGAGTCTAGCCTCGCCTCCAACACAAAGGTCAAGGTCGCTGCCAACGAGTAGGATTCGATAGCAACTGTGAATCCTGCCTGCGCTGTACCACACGCGTCAGACTTCCACGTATCGTACAAAACTACGCTTCAAGGCTGAGTTAACCCTGGCCCCTAGACAATTTTTCATCTTCGCCCTGCAGGGACGCCTCACAGGTCACACCCGTATGTCGAAAACTAAGCAAATCAGAGCCACGAAGAACGCAAAATAAAAAGCTCTCGTTAAACTTCACCAGACCGGCGCGAGTCAGCAACGATGAATTGACCTTTGGCATGTGACATCAGTCCAGAGGAAGCAGAATATCACTTTATGGATTTACCCTGTAACCTCAAGAACTAGACGGGCCGCGACAATGTGGGAAACGGAGTTGAAAATCACTTAAAAATCCAATCAGATACACAACAGTGGAAATCCACTGATATAACAGGTGAGGTATGTCATGTTAAGTCCAACAGGTGAAGACTGTTGTTGCATTGGCTCGTCCGGTAATATCAAGAACAATACAAAACACATAAATGGTGCAGACGGAATAAGAGAGACCTTTTAAAGCTCTGTGTTGCTGATGTTCAAATTGTGATCCCTTCAAAAGGCCAAATGTAGTCTCAAAGGTCAAGGTCAAGGTCGCTGCCCGTCTTAACCTTGGACGACCTGGCCTTTTAAGAGCAGCCAGAAGCGATAGTAATGCGCTTAGTGTCATACAGGTAAAAAGGCAGCCTAGAATACCTCCTTCAAGTACATTCCTTGGGATACAGTAACGGGATTATCAACTCTAAGCAGTAACACCGACATGATGTAAAAAGTTAGCATATTATGAAACCTGAAGGTCAGAAACCTCACACTTTTATAGCATGTTAACAAGCGATGTGAACTCAGCTAACCAAAATTTACGTGCTGTGCTCGACACCATTCAGAAGTTATTAAAGAAATGTCCTAACGGAAGCCGCCGAGACCTCTGGATTTCTTTGCCTCCCCCCCCCCCCCCCCCCCCCACCTCGTAGGATGATAGTTAATGTTCTGTGGAATAAAACCAGTATTAAAAATAAAACTTAAAAAAGCATCTAAATCTCAACATTTTAAGAAATGTTCGAGTAAAAGAAAGTTATGCCAATGAGTGATGAAGAATGGTAAACTGCATCGTCAGAATAACTGAAGATGTTTCGGGGTATTTCAAAACACTTAGCAGGTAGACTTTAGTAAAAACCTTACCAATGTTGCTAGTCACTCTGAAAGCATAAAACTAAAATGTGACAGTAAGGTAACGCGATAGTTTGGCAAAGTGCCACCCGGAACGGACGTGTTAAACCCAGATGGCCATGTGTTTGTCCCGCATCCGTTCACGACCGACAGCAGCAGAGTTGAAAGGTAAGTGTTAAAGCACACAAGCGAAATCTGGTTAGAAAAATGCCTATGAGCACGTGCATCATGCATGCAACGTGCTTTTGTTATGCGCGTTGAAAAGAACGATGACTATAAATAACCCTTGGCGGGTTTTCAACTAGCATGCCTAAATGTAACAATCAACGCATCTCGGTCGATCAGGGAGTTCCGCTACGCTTCCGCCTCAACCCAGTCAGTACCCGAGGAAGGCAACCGGCTATATCTCTTCAGCATGCTGTTTTGCGGTGCATCAGTGAGGTGATTTGGGGAGGGAGGTTACGCCGCCGCGTCAGTGCGCGGGGCAGCGCCACCTTTACTGGCGCCGGGTGGCGGCACCACATGCGCCGGGTCAGGAGACAGCCTCGCCGGCCCGGTCAAAAGACCAGCCTCCGTTACGTCACTGATCGCCGCCCACTAGGGCATGGCGCTTGCCAGAGGCTTGCAGGTGGATGGACCGGGCAAACAGGCAGGTTCAGGTCCAGGTGCCTTGCTCAGAGGCTGAGTGGTCTCACCAACCGCAGCAGACGCTGCAGTTCCCCCGGCTGTCGGGGTCGCGTGCAGGGATGGGGGCCGGACCGGGTGCCACACCTCGCGTGTCGTGAAGACAGACCAGACGAAGGCTAGGTGCCAACCACTAGCTCAAGCCAACTAACATGCTGCTCGATTACCTTGGCAGAAATTGTCAACAGTATGCGATCGTGGGCGTTGAGCATCAGATACTATCTCAGAAGGGTACACTGAAACAGCGAGTACGGTGGCGACTCAGCCAAAGGCTACGTCTGGCTATCGACCGTAGAAGGGCACACTGAAACAGCACGCACATCGATGACTGAAATGACGTACACTTACAACTTGAGAAGAGTACACTCAAACAACACCCAGCAGTCGCACACGGACTCGACAGACCGCAGGCTACTCTATCGCATACAGCAGGGCGAACGCTGGCACATAACGAGCATACAACAGAAATAAATGTAGCGTACAGCAAGGTACATCAGGCATCAATACGAATCAGTTAAGAACCCACTGCGGGAAAATCCGAGAAAAAGAGGGCTAAAATTTCTATGATACTGCAGTACATATTCTTATCTTAATATTAGCAGGAGCATTTCTTTTTGTTGCTCCGCTGAGTTTTTGGAAATGATGGTCATAAAATCATACGCATCAGGAATTTTTATCAGATGGGGTATAACTGAGTGGTCTAACAAACAAATCACATGAAAAAGAGCACAAATTCAGATGGCATGCAACGAAAATGTTAAGTTCAAGAGTGTGCCATTTTGCTTAAGGTGACATGATACATTAATTCTTCAAAAGTTCCCTTCTCATTAACAGTCCTTCATAGTTCCCTACTCATTCTGGCACGGTATGTTTGAAGACCAGACTTGGCCGCCGCATAAGACAAGAGACAAAGGTATTTTGAATACGATGCATTCATTACGGTACTACAGGTTCGTAGCATCAAAGGCGCAAGTGCTTGATCGTGCCTACGTGATGCTTCTTCAACCATTCACATCCATTTACCAGAAGGCCTTTGTTCAGCTACACACATTCGTGTCCCAGTTTACAGCGCAGTATCGAAGCCAGACCCCAAACACGCTGCTTCCAGGCGGCGCATTCGTTAAACAACGACAGGGGCGTAGTCCCTTGCCTGATCAACTATGTATTTGTACCACTCGCATCCGCTTTCAGCTCTGGCACTACCTCTCCGGCGTGGCTGTAGGCTGATGCAAAAGGCATTATTACGCAGTACCGAACTACACCGCAGCCTGTTCTATGAAGCTCAGTGCGCCTGGACAGGATACCTGCTGAGCTCTGGTGAACATCGTAAGCGCATGATCTTTGGCTGACACGACACAGCCGGTATCAGCAGTGAGCCCAGCCATCAGCTATCCCAGCCACAGGCTGCAGATCATCTGTATCGCAACTTTGGCTGACACGACACAGCCGGTATCAGCAGTGAGCCCAGCTATCAGTTATCCCAGTCATAGGCTGCAGATCATCTGTATCGCAACTTTGGCTGACACGACACAGCCGGTATCAGCAGTGAGCCCAGCTATCAGGTATCCCCACAGGCTGCAGATCATCCGCACCGCAAGTTTGGCTGACACGACACAGCCGGTATGAGCAGCGAGCCCAGCCATCAGCTATCCCAGCCACAGGCTGCAGATCATCTGTATCGCAACTTTGGCTGACACGACACAGCCAGTATCAGCAGTGAGCCCAGCTATCAGTTATCCCAGCCATAGGCTGCAGATCATCTGCATCGCAACTTTGGCTGACACGACACAGCCGGTATCAGCAGTGAGCCCAGCTATCAGTTATCCCAGTCATAGGCTGCAGATCATCTGTATCGCAACTTTGGCTGACACGACACAGCCGGTATCAGCAGTGAGCCCAGCTATCAGTTATCCCAGCCATAGGCTGCAGATCATCTGTATCGCAACTTTGGCTGACACGACACAGCCGGTATCAGCAGTGAGCCCAGCTATCAGTTATCCCAGCCACAGGCTGCAGACCATCCGCATCGAAACTTTCCGGCTTTGTCTTGGTACCGACCGCCATTGCACTGCTGATAATGCTGGGTCATCGGTCAGAACCAAAATAAAAACTGTTACCCTGCATTACCAGGGTACCAGTTTCCTCTACTAGCTCTAGATACCTCTAGGCTTAACTTGTGAGGGCATGCAAGAAAGCATCGCAGTCTTTTCAGAGGTACACATCGATAGCTTATTTTCCATGTTGAAAATGCGTTTACTAAATTCGATTTTCTCGTCATGTAGTAATGGATCATAAATAAACATATATCATGCACGTTCCCCCACCTGAGCGTCATAGCCAGATCTGAAGGATGTGCGAGGAGGACATGGTTAATATGAACTGACTTTGTGTCCGACACTGGCAGCTGTGTAAATAAGTTCATGACAGCTGCCAGCCCACTTCCAGCCATGTGTCCTATGCCGTACGTAACACGTGCCCAGGTGACCGGTTGAATACCCTTCGACCGGGCGGGCGGGGGTCAATTTGACCCCTTGAGATATCAAAAACTAAGAAAGCTAGAATTCACGAGGTGTATTAGCCTGTACGTGAACTCACTTGTGTCAAAGTTTGAGATTTATAGGTTATGACCTTCAGGTCAAACAAGATCAAACGAGGTTGAGCTCCAGATGATGCCCAAAGTACTAACAGACCATACCACGCAACTACCGGGAACCTAGATACTTGTTTTAAGCCAACGGTCATTGGTGCTCATTTGAGGTCAGTGATCCTGTTTGATCTTTCAAGAGTCATGGTGACCAAAATCACACAAGACTGCTTCGATTTTTGCATTTGAATATTCGTTAAAGATTACGCTAGGCAGATCACTCTTAACGCAAAATGTCGGCCTCGGGCAATTGATGTCAGCGGTCTATTCTGTCCTTTGACAAGCCCATGGAACATTACAACGCGCTTCCTATTATCAATTACAGCAAAATGAGCACCAGAATGCAACTCATACAGCAATCTGTCGAGTAAGAAAACGCGTTGGTTTTAGCCTTGTTCAAATCTTTATACCTGACCCTAGGTGAATGGAATTTGTTCATTTGATTGTTGCGCTGCCTAAGAAAGTATTTCAGAGATGTCAGGCTTCATTTAACACTCCGTTGTTGCATCCGACTGAGCAATCCCCTAAAAACTGTCTGCTGAATCCATGAGCCGAGTTTGACCCGCCGTAGGTCAAGGACCTTACAAGCTACATCTGAATTTTTATGCCAAAAGATTGCTATTCAAATGTCTATAACTATGCGAAATTTGGCGTGGCTACACTGCGCTGTCCAAAAATCATTCCCGAAACCCCTTTGAAGGGGTCCAGTTGACCCCGCCCCCCCCCCCCAGACCGCTTGTTAAAGGCAAACATATTGCCGAGGTTAACGAAGAAAATGACAGATCCGTGAAGGTATCACAATCCGTGGAGGGATTTAGAAGAATCATGATCAGTCTTCAATCTGGTCAGTGATAACGGTGCTGTTTATTGATAGCAGTGAGGAAATTCTTCCAGGTGGGTCAACCGGGACTGAGTCATTTCCCTGCTCTTTTTAGAACAGTTACATTACTCAGGATTTTGAACGTCACATACCTAAGAAAACGAACCATAAAACGTTGGCTGATGCCCTCCTAAATGTTAAGCATGATTGGCGAGCTTCAAGAAACCCATGGAGTGCGCGTCATGCCGTGAAAATGTCTGTTGGTTAGGAGGATAATTTGATGCCTGGCATCAAATCATCAATTTCAATTTCTTTTATTGAAATTGATATTTTTCTTTTATTGAAATTGACAATTTCTTGTACCTGTACCCTGGTAGGAAGCACGTATGGCATCGCTTAAAGTCGCAGGCAAAAGCCAATAGATCGTCAACCCCGCATGGATTCCATATCCTCCTTTATCCCAGCCACAAACGTCCACCCCACAACCCCCATCTGCTACTTCCCATCCCCTAATCGCTGGGGAGATTTGCCACCGTTCAGTGTAGCACTCGCACCATTTGAATAACAGTTGAGTGTATTTGAGGAGCTTCCTCGGACAGGATAAATGCATACTGGTAGCCTGAAGTCCCAGCATCTTGGGGTCAGGGGTAGGGACCAGATACGCGGTATGTTAGTGCCGTAGTGGGAGGATCCACAGTATGTTAGTGCCGCGGTACGGGGAGATGCAGTGCGAGGCTGCCCGGCTGGCGTACTGCTGGCGTTGTGTCCGCATCGGCAAATGTTGGGCTGCACCGAACACATTAATGGCGTCATAGCAGCACAGGTACCGGCCGAGCCCTCCTACCTCTTTGTCGATACAGATACTTCAAGGCTAGAGCCAACACTTCTTTTATTTGCGTAAAGGACGAGATTCGTGATCAGGAATTATAGTTACGTTGCCGGGCATGACAACACATGGATTCAAATCTCGAGAATGCTGGCAAGAGCTCTACATGCTCAATGCTAGTAAGCCCGCATACCATACGGGGTGTATGCACTTTGTAAACAGGAATAATCATGTACAATGGGCAAGTATTATACAAAAAGGCATAATGTACAACCATGTATGCAGGTATGTATGATGTACGTGTACACATGCACATATACATGTACAGCCACACATGGAGGCTTATGTATACATTCATGCACGTACTGTATACACAGTGTGCATCAGTATATATTACGCATACCAGCGTACAATGCTAGGCTATGAGTATATATTAGTACACTTATCAATGTACGAAAGCCTCAGAAAGCAACAGACAAGGACCGTGACTGTTACCGATACAGCCGGCAGAGGTGTGAGGGTGTGACACTGACCGGTGCCGGTACTGTCGGCAGGACTGTGAGGGTGTGACACTGACCGGTGCCGGCACAGTCAACAGGGGACTGTGAGGGTGTGACACTGACCGGTGCCGATACTGTCGGCAGGACTGTGGGGGTGTGACACTGACCGGTGCCGGCACAGTCGACAGGGGACTGTGAGGGTGTGACACTGACCGGTGCCGGCACAGCCGACAGGGGACTGTGAGGGTCTGACACTGACCGGTGCCGATACTGTGGGCAGGACTGTGAGGGTGTGACACTGACCGGTGCCGCTACTGTCGGCAGGGGTGGGAGGGTGTGACACTGACCGGTGCCGGTACAGTCGGCAGGGGTGTGAGGGTGTGACACTGACCGGTGCCGGTACAGCTGGCAGAGGTGGAGGGTGTGACACTGACCGGTGCCGGTACTGTCGGCAGGGGTGTGAGGGTGTGACACTGACCGGTGCCGGTACTGTCGGCAGGGGTGTGAGGTTGTGACACTGACCGGTGCCAGTACTGTCGGCAGGGGTGGAGGATGTGACACTGACCGGTGCCGGTACAGTCGGTAGGGGTGTAAGGATGATACTGACCGGTTCCGATGGTGGCACTGCGGCAGGGGGCCTGGCGCTGGCTGACCCGATGCAAGGAGATGGGGTCCAGCGAGGAGGCGGGCCGCATGCTGCCCAGCTGACCCAGCTCGGCTGCGCTGGAGTGGTACTGCCTGTCCCCGCCCTGTCGGCACAGCCGGCGGTCAACCTGGCATCTACCCCACACCACAAGGTAGCAGGGACACTGCAAGATAGCGGAGCTGTCTAGTCGGTCACAGGTGTGCTTTAGAAACAATCTTGTGCCTCGGTTACCCGTGTGGTAGAATCTTCCATCAAGATAATCATACATCAAAATGAACGCGTACTGTGCATTCTAAAACTAAGCATTGTTTTCTAGTGCAGTCCTACATGTATCGTGGGCTCTCCGACCCCAAAAGGTCCTAGCCGGCATTCGGAATTTGGGGCCATTTTCTGCCGTAGCACAGAAAATTATGACAATAGGTCAACTAAATACGAATATATTTTGGAGACATTCTACCGTGAAATACGCTTCTGATTCGCGCCAATTGCGTTGAACACAGAGGATATCACCCGACGGGTTTTCAGGCGATTTTCTTACGCAGAATAAGCATGATCGCCTATGAAAAACAGGTGATCTCTTTAACTTTTACTCGCATTTGACAGTTAACTGTCCCTTTAACCTTCTTCGTAAAAACACGTAGACAAGGTAAACACTGCGGCAGATTGAGAATCCCCGCGTTTTCAGCTGCATTGCCATTAAGTTGACAGCTCTTTGTGACAACCAATAACATTGGGCTCGCTATGGCTCGCTATGGTCTCATAATATCATATGGTCTCCAAAGGGTCACTAGAACCTAGAAAGCTCTCCTAAGCAAAAGGTCACATGCTCGTCTAAGCTCAGTGACCCTGTTTGACCTTTTAAAGATCATATTGACTTAAGTCCCACAAGACCGCTTTGGGTTTTGAGTTGGGATAGGCGACAAAGATTACGCCAGGCAGTATGTACCTAAAAACAAAAAGGTTGACCTCAGTCATTGTAGGTCAGTGACCTATTCTGACCTTTAAAAAGTATGTGGAGGGTGTGGTGTGCGGTTCCTGTTGTCGATAAATTCAACATGAGCACCAGGACCTACCCAATACAGCAACCGCTAGAGTAATAAAACAGGTTTGTTTTGACCTTGGTCTGGCGTTTATACCTGACCCTGGGACAATGTTATTAGTTCATTCAATTGCTGTGTCGCCTAAGAAAGTATTTCATAGCTGTATGGCTTCGTCTAACAACCCCTTGTTGGACCAGATTGAACGATTCCCTAAAATTGCCTTCACTGAAGCCATGATCTGAATTTGACCTGTCATAGGTCAGCGAAATTGCAAAGAAAATATAAATGTTTATCTCAGACGCCCCGCTACTCAATTATCTACGAGGCAAAATTTGGTGCGGCCACGCCGCGTCGTTCGGTAACCATTCTGGAAAAATCTTCGGGGGTCAAATTGACCCCCTCCCCAAAGTTTTTTCCAGAATGGTTTCCGAACGGTGTGGCGTAGTGGCGCCAAATTTTCCATGCTGCAGACAATTGAATAGCAGATCGTTTGACCTAAAAAATTAGATGTACCTTGTAAGGTCGCTTATCTATGGCAGGTCAGAATCAGGTCATGGTTTCAGCGAAGGCAATTTCTATGGAATCGTTCAATGCGATACAACGGAGTATTTGACCAAGCCATATATCTCTGAGATGCCTTTTTTGGCACCACAAACATTGAATGAGCAAATTACGTTGACCTAATGTGAGGCATTAAGGTCAGGCCAAGGTCAAAATCAATCTGATTTATTACTCTGGTGCTCGCTGTATGGGATAGTTTGTGGTGCTCATTTCAAATTTATTGACAGCAGGAACCGCATTATAAATCTTTCCATTGACTTCTTAGAGGTCAGAACAGGTTATTGACCTAACATGCCCTGTGTCGACATTTTGTTTTAGGGACATACTGCCTAGCGTAATCTTCGTCGCTCATTCAAATGCAAAACCCAGAGTAGTCTTGCATGATTTTGGTCACCATGACCTTCAAAAGGTCAAACAAGGTCACTGACCTCAAATGGGCTTATGAACTTTTGCTTAGAGACAGTTGCCTAGATTCTGGGGGCACTTTGGAGACTAACCTGGAATTTGACCCTGTTATGACCTTATTTGACCTGAAGGTCATAACCTAGGAGCCTGATACTTTGACCTAAGTGACTTTACGTACAGGTCAAGACACCCTGTAAATTTGGTGTCTTTAGCTCTCTTAGTTCCCGAGATTTCAGGCGGGTCAAATTGATCCCCCTACCCGAGCGGAGGGTATCTAGCCGGCCACCCGGGCGAGTGTTAAGTGTCATTTGAGGAGTCATCCAGCAATACATAAGACAGGTTCGGCCTATCAAACGTAGCCAACACACCTCAACATATCTATCCTACTGTTTAGGCCATGATGCCGTCACGATCTCTCCACGGAGAGCCCGTGACCACCGAGCCCACGCGGCGGGAGCGGCTGGCACCGAGCCCACGCGGCGGGAGCGGCGGACGCGGAGCCCTCGCGGCGGGAGCGGCCGATGCTGAGCCCTCGCGGTGGGGGTAGCCGACGCCCAGCCCACCCGGCGGGAGCGGCTGACGCCATGCCCACGCGGCGGGAGAGGCTGACGTCGAACCCACGTGGCGGGAGAGGCTGACGCCATGCCCACGCGGCGGAAGCGGCTGACGCCATGCCCACGCCGCGGGAGAGGCTGACACTGAACCTGCGCCGCGGGAGAGGCTGACGCCAAGCCCACGCGACGGGAAAGGCTGACGCCGAGCCCCGCTCCGTTGGTCGCTGGTTACCGTCTCTGAGAGCCGCTGGCTGCTGAGTCGGGGCGACGCCGGCGGCGGCTCGTCCAGCAGGTGGACGCGCAGGTCGGGCGCGCTGTCCGAGGCTGGCGTCAGCGGGCGCGGTTGCGTCGCTTCCTCGGGCACGGCCAGACGGCTGAAGGGCGGCGCGACGTCCGGCGCCGCCGGTCCGCCGTCGGCCGCTGGCGCCCTGCCGGCCGACGGAGGCGTGTGAAGACGTGCGGCATTGTTGAGTGGGGACGGGGCGATGACATGGGACCGGAGAGACGGCTCACGTGCTGCTTGAAACAAGGAGGTGTCGAAAGGCGAAGAGGACATCCTCTGTTCAGCTTTAATATTCGAAATGACTCCACCGTCTTGACATTGTACGTTAAAAGACAGAGCTTACGGTCGATATTGCACTGCGGTGAGTGTGATACCACTCTATCACGCAAAACGCTGGTGGCGACGAATCCGTGATCCATAATGGCGACGAATGTGCGATGCAAGAAATATAAGCTATGGACAAAGAAATACAGCAGGAATATGAGGAGCATAGCAAGCATGTAAATAGCACAAACACTCCTAATCCGTCGGCAGCCAGCCCCCACACGGCATGAATGAAAAGCTCGTATGACGTTGTGGCCCTCAGATCGGCCGGGCCATCGCTCCCGGCGCCGCCGGCGCCTCGCCAAACAGAGGCGCGTCCGGCGGCCTCCGGTCCGACGCAGGGCGTCTTCGGCGAGGGACGTTTCGAACGTCTCGTACAGCGTGTGGTGAGAACAGAGCGTGACATTGTCAAACCTCACTTCCCCGGGAGTAGCTTCCGACCACGGCAGTTTATGAACAGTTCAGAGACCATTCCAGTAGCAGGGAGTCCAGTTTGAGCCGCCCAAGCCGCTCGAGTACCCACGAAATGTTGGCCGACTTCCTGAGTTCGGTGGCAATTTTTTGTGAAGGCTTATGGCTTTTCTAATTTAGTTCTTTGTGCTGCAATGGCACCCCTACATGCTATAATGAGGCGGTATTATATATGTGAGTGAACGTTATCTTCAAAGATATTTTGGTTGCCAAAGGAAATCCTGCTGTTCATCACTGGCATACACATCGGAATACTGCATTGAATTGCCTGACATGTTGCTTTGTGGTAGCATCGAAGGTGCGAATAGCTCGTCTCATGACATCGGTGACAGAAAAACCTCGTGGATGTTGCCAGCAAAAACAGGTCAGGGTGTTGAAATGGGCTCAATGGGCCCAAAACCAAGCCACTCTTTCTCGCTTGATGGCGACGATGCATTACTGGAAATCGATGACTACGCTGATGTAATAGCTCGTGGACACATGCCTCACTTTCATCGGCATGAGCTGTGTTACCGTGTCGTCCACGTCAGCCGGCGTGACAGGCGAAACAGATTGCTGCGGTGATAGCCACATTAACCGTAGTGGTAGTGAATACTAACCAAGGGCTTGCAACCAGGCGAAATGGTTTGGGAACAGAGCTTCGCATTGCGTTTGCTCGTGCGCAAAACTCATACGCATAGCTGTATATAGCGATTATATGCACGACATTTCGTGGTACGCAGATTTCCATAAATGCAAATCTTCACACGGTTCAACATTCGCAAAACAATGTTTTCTGCCTGTAAAACTATGTATATGCGACATGGTACGCGGTATACGCAGCACTAAGTTCGCATTTCTTCGCATGCACATTGCTTCATTTTGAACTTCGTGTGTGCCATTTATACCGTACAAAATTTTTCATTTTGCGTCTTTTTAATGCAACCCTTTGCATCGCATTTCTTTGTATACATACTTTTTTGCACATACTTTGTATACATGCGTTCTTCATACAGACTTCGTATACATGCTTTCTTCATACATACCGCATTTCTCTGCGTACTTAATTCCTAGCACAGGGTTCCTCGGACACGCAATTATTCGCTACATTGGCCCATTCACTTCATTTTATTCCGTTTATTCAAGTTTACAATTGCCCGGCCGAGCGGTTCAAATGCGTTTGGGTCAGGTAGGGCGTATACTACAGGTAGGGCGTGTACGTCAGGTAGGGCGTGTATGTCAGGTAGGCCGTGTGCGTCAGGTAGGGCGTATAGCGTGTACGTCGGGTAGGGCGTATACGTCAGGTAGGGCGTGTACGTCAGGTAGGGCGTTTGCGTCAGGTAGGGCGTGTACGTCAGGTAGGGCGTGTACGTCAGGTAGGGCGTGTACGTCAGGTAGGGCGTATGAGTCAGGTAGGGTGTGTACGTCAGGTAGGGCGTGTACGTCAGGTAGGCCGTATGCGTCAGGTAGGGCGTGTACGTCAGGTAGGGCGTGTACGTCAGGTAGGGCGTGTACGTCAGGTAGGGCGTGCACGTCAGGTAGGGCGTATACGTCAGGTTGGGCGCATACGCCAGGCAGGGCGTGATGCGTGTCAGGTGTATTCCTTGAGCCAAGGCATCTCATTCCTTCTGTTGAGCACCTATTGGTACTTCATGTTTTTTGCGTGGTCGCACGCGCGGGTGTAAGCCATGAGCATATCTTGCTGGTTTGTTTGCAGGTACTACTACCGCATTCTGGCAACTGGTGAGGCGAGGAAAATGGCGAGGGAAGTGCTTCAAAATATGTCCTATCAAAGCTTAAGGGGGTTGCATCGAACCCCCCCCCCCCTCCGACTATCCAGGCGAGTTGCTCAACGTGTGCTGGCTCCAAAGTTGCGCTACAAGTGAGGAAAAGTTAGATTTGCTGGTTTGCCATGGATACCCGCGGTGATGATGATAACGTCACTCAAAAATTATCCACGGAGATGACGTAAAGATAAGGTAAATGATTAAATGTCGGTCCAGCTTTCACGTGTATGGTCGCTAAACGCCGTGTGCCATATTCCCTGTGCGGTGCTTAATAACTAGATGCTCGCTAATTGGCTTAAAGTAAGTACGGCAGCTGCAAATGGCCTCCCTTCGTCTGCACACCTCTTGACCTTGCAAGTTGGTTTTAACAAGTATAGCAGCGAGTGGCAGGTTTAGTGAAGGGACGCGCGGAACATGTGCCCCTAGCCAAACTCGGGTAAGATCCCTCCGTGCGCAATGGGGAGAGTACAAGATTTTCTGTTGAATCGGTGCATGTCTTCCATAGCGACCCAAGACAAGTTATCAGGGTTGATGGGTGAAAATTTAGAATACTTAAAACGCTATACATTGTTCAGATACATGCGGAAACCCCAAAACAGCAAACAACAAAAGATCCGGGTTACCGATACTCATGGCTATGGGTTCGAGGCATTTTGCTCTATCCGTGAAGAGCTGATGGAATATTTTCTAGAACTGCTCGATAAGATTGAAAACCACTGTCTCCAGACATTTGCAGCTGCATTTCCCGGACGTTTGGAGTCCGATTTCATGGATGCGGTGTTGTGTGATTGTGGGATGTTCGTGACGCGTTGGCTTGAATGCCAAGTGCACCACCAACCGAGCTATAGCGACAGCGGGCAGACTTCAACAGAGAGTTATGCCATTCAAAAGCTCCAAAGAAGCGCCTATACGGTCAAAATCAAAACATTCACGTGAAGCTATAGAAGTGTAGCGTGGGCGGGCGGCCTCTCTGGTGCGTTCCTGGCTGCCTAGGTGTTGGGGGCAACCACTGGCCGACCGTGGTGCGTTTCTGGCTGCCTAGGTGTCGGGGCAACCACCGGCCGACCGTGGTGCGGTCTGGGCTGCCTAGGTGTCGAGGGCAACCACCAGCCGACCGTGGTGCGTTCCTGGCTGCCTAAGTGTCGGGGCCAACCACCGGCAGACGGTGGTGCGTTCCTGGCTGCCTAGGTGTCGAGGGCAACCACCGGCAGACGGTGGTGCGTTCCTGGCTGTCTAGGTGTCGGGGCCAACCACCGGCAGCGAGTGGTGCGGTCCCGGCTGCCTAGGTGTCGAGGGCAACCACCAGCCGACCGTGGTGCGTTCCTGGCTGCCTAAGTGTCGGGGCCAACCACCGGCAGACGGTGGTGCGTTCCTGGCTGCCTAGGTGTCGAGGGCAACCACCGGCAGACGGTGGTGCGTTCCTGGCTGTCTAGGTGTCGGGGCCAACCACCGGCAGACAGTGGTGCGGTCCCGGCTGCCTAGGTGTCGAGGACAACCACCGGCAGACGGGTGGTGCGGTCCCGGCTGCCTAGGTGTCGAGGGCAACCACCGGCAGAAGGGGGGGGGGGGGTGTTCCTGGCTGCCTGGGTGTCACGGGTGACCGGCCAGCTCGTGCCTGTCGGAACTGCCGGGTCGAGGCGCCGAACGAACGAGTGGCGAGGCGTCGGCAGACCCTGGGGTGGGTCGCCGGCGTGGGCTGTGAAGTGGATGCCCTTGTGGATACGAATATTTACGTACGACTTTTCGTGCCACGGGATTTTCAATGCGAAAAGTGTGCATGGAAATTTGATAAGGAAGGTATACGTACAAAGCTTGCCATAAAAAAGCTGCGATGTAAAGGTTCGTCTACATTGTTTTCCTTCAAAGTATTGCCTGCAAAAAAACAGCGATGTGACCATCTGGATACGAAGCTCTGCGTACAAGGAATATGGTACCAAATACGCCTAATATGAAGTTTTATCCGACTGCGGGGTGCAATTATCGACAACAGGTGCGTAATACAGTCTGCGCTCTTCGCGTATGATGTCTCAACGTTATGGTTAGACATCCGCAAAGGCCGTCTCCCCCGCGCGAGTAAATGTCCTAAATACAATGGCTGGTTGTAGATATGTTAGGATCGCGATCTCACTTGTTTGGCTCGCGCCATTAACAATAAATTGCCAGGTTTAAGGAACATTGGCTGATCTGCCAGTTATGCTCATTTGACTCAGCCATGAGACACCACTGATAACAAAGGAGTTCATTGACGCAAAGATCATGAATCAAAAACGCCGCCATCGGAGAAAAAAAACATAACCAATTTTCTTTTGCGGTACGATCCCATTAGTTTTGATAATCTGAACACATCGAGTGCTGGAGTGTCTACAGCGCCGCACGCATCACGTGATCCCGGTCCATTGTGCCTGGCTGCGTACGGATATCCTGAACTTCTCTGTGGGACGTTTGGATGGAAATCTGGACACCTGCAATTACATGGCGTAAGATTCCCAAAATGCGTCCTTCTGGAGTGACGGCCCACCCGTGGCGTGCAGAACACTTTGTGTTTGGGTTTACGTGACGCTGCAAAGGAGTGTCACGCCGCAGACTCTGGCTCACCCGGTCACCAGCCGACCTCACCCCTTCTGGGGTCAGAACGGTACAGAGCGCGCGGACCCGGTCACCTCAAGGCAATAAGCTCCGCGGTCAGCGTGCCCGCCAGCTGTCTGTGAACCTCCCGCGTCCCTCAGACGGAGAGGCAGCAGGAGAGTCGGCGTGCTCGCCAGCTGTCTGTGAACCTCCCGCGTCCCTCAGACGGGGAGGCAGCAGGAGAGTCGGCGTGCTCGCCAGCTGTCTGTGCAACTCCCGCGTCCCTCAGACGGAGAGGCAGCAGGAGAGTCGGCGCCGCGGGAATTGTTGGCGACGTTGATCCGGCGCTTTGAAGATTGATGGGTCGGCTACGAAATCTCTTTTCCTGAATTTCCGACTTTGATCCATGTTATTTCACCGGCTTAGAGCCAAGCAAACGCAGCTTACGAAGTTTCACACAGAGTAACCGAAATAGAATAGCGTGGCGGATAGGTGAGGGAAAATCTTAACCAGCCTTAGAATATATCAGCAGCAGGAAGACCATGGTCACGCCATATATTACATACAAAAGGGCTTTCGCTTCGTCGCAACATAGTATGAGCATGCAGGATGGCGTGAACAACCAGAGTCGTCCTGAAATGTGCAGCAGTGTCGGAAACGCCCGCGTGGCTAGTAATGGTGTGTCGAAACCTTTGACTGTGAGGCAGTCGTGCCGGACCAGAGCGTGAGCCGGACAGTGCCTCACTACTCAAACCAGCACATCGCGAGCAAGCCGGCAGCGTTTGGAGCAGATCCTCAGCTGTACGGGACGGCGATCTGCACAGGGCCACGACAAGGGCAGGTCATACGGCATAGCTCAGCCTCGGAGCTGGAGAGAAGGTTACGGCTGCCCAGCGGAACATCGGAGTCAGAGAAACGGCTGCAGCTGCCCAAAGCAGGGCAGCTGCAGCACAGCATAGCTGCCCTGCTGCTCAGGTAGACATGTCCTACTAACCACCATATAGCAGCATGTTGCTCTGGATGGATTTTCTTGACAGCACCAAGTGTCCCAGCGTGACATTTCAATTTGATACGCACATGAACTCAGTTGACGCTCCTTTGCTCACTCAGTTTAGGACGTAATGCAAGTGCTCACAGTAATAGACGTGAAATTGCATTAGGAGAATTCCTTAGAAAAAATATCAGCTAAATATGAAGATCGGTAAAAAGCAGGTGGTGCTGCTGCACTTCGACGCTTCTGAATGTGGGAATTTAACGCGGTCTTTTTTAAATCGTGGAAATCCTGCAGCATCGCGGAGCAATAGGATCATTGGGTCACGATTTAATATACTTACACCGAACATGCACACCGACTGAAAGGAGGGACCTTATCGTGACGAACAGTGAAAACTGACGAGTGTCTGGATGAGACTGCCAGGTTTAGGTGTGACGTCAGACATCATTCAGCGAGCGCCCCGAGCCGCGCTGTGTGACCGCAGTCAGCGTCCAATTTCAGCACTCTGAACACCTCAGGGCCTCTCGGGGGTTGTTATTTGGATTGCATTGTACGCCACAAATTACAGTCTGGGGATTACGACGAATATCTGATTTTGCTCCGACGAGCGAACGTATTGCTTTAGGCTTGATCCAGCATCCAATAATTTCAACTTGGGCTCAATCACTTCAGCTGGGGCCTTTAGCATGTTCATACACGTTAAGCCTCTCCATCCGTTGCCATCAGTTACACTGTTGATTGAAAGATCATAATAGCACGGATTTCAGTTCCAGTTGGTTTATATGAAAAGAACGTCTATGACACATCATATGGTGGATTCGTGTGTGACACCTTGCACGGTTTTGGACGTGCGCGGCAATAATGTGCCCGCGCCACACATACGGGGATAACAGTAACCCTGCACTGCCTACATGATGCAACGATGTAGCTGGTGTTCCCGCCCATCCCGTCTTTAACATTCAATGGCGGAACACTTCAACTGTGGAATAATTTGCTAGTGAAATAATTCGCTAGTGGAATAATTCGTCGTCAACAATTCAGCATTAACCAACCGCTAAAACGAACCTAACACGGTTGTCACTGTTTGATTATGCATGGTAGCCCATGCGGTAGGGGTCCCCACAGAGTCGAGCGCTAGGTTTCTAAACAAGCTGTACATCCGACAGCACTGCCTGACCGTCGTCGGTCCGAGTTCACGATCAGCAGTACACACCAGAAGTTAGAGCCGCCGGCGGGCGGCCGCCTGACTCACGTGATGTGGGGCGACTCGGGCGGCTGTTCCGTGGCCCCCAGTAAGAGCTTCGGCTTCCTCTTCGGCCGCCTCGTTCGCCTCCGGTGTCGGCGTCAGCGTGGAGGCGCTGCCACGACGACCGCGCAACGCGCCGGCCGGCCGCCCGCGGCCCTTCCGGAACGAGCGGATGCTCTGGCGGAACGACTGACGCGCCCGGCCGACTGCAGCACGCGGCAAACAGTCACCGACACGGTCACCAGCGCAGGAGACGACAATCAGTCACCAGCCCGGGACACTGGCGCGCCCGGCCGACTGCAGCACGCGGCAAACAGTCACCGACACGGTCACCAGCGCAGGAGACGGTTATCAGTCACCATCCCGGGACACTGGCGTGCCCGGCCGACTGCAGCACGCGGCAAACAGTCACCGACACGGTCACCAGCGCAGGGCACAACAAACAGTCACTAAGGACATGAATGTCGTTCTGGTTCGCCAAGAGCATAAGGCAAGCCATGGATTTGATTTCTATTGGCATGACTTAAGAGTTCTGTAAACGCAGCAGACTCTCCAAGACCATACGGGTTCTTCACGAAATAGCTTCCGTATAGAGGCTTGGGCAGAAGCAAGATTTTGCTGCAGTGGAGTCTCTAGTTTACCACAAGTACGCACCAGAGGCCAATCAGCTTCAGACATACCCACCTGACTTATTTGGTGACCCTAACTCCGTTAGCGATTATACAGGTAACACATTTAATTAGATCAATCTGCCATTCCATGAGGATCTATACACGACGCAACAAAACTGACTATTGATGTACAGGACTACTTCAGCTACTGCACGGCATGCCCAACCGCGAAGTGACATTTACCTCTTTAGCTTGAAAAGCTACATATGACAATGTTAACCTCGGCCAGATGGTGGCGAATGGCCAATCGGGCGATGGAGACCCTTCCCCGCTCCTTTCCTGAACCTCGAAAACTGGGGAAACGATTAATGGCTCCGTACAATTATGAGCATCAAGATAACTTCTCTCTACATTGATTTCGATGTTGTCATCACGTCAGATCACTGACCTCGGCTTTTGGGATGATGTGGGTGTGATACGTTGAAAAAATATTTTAAGCAATTTGCCGGTTGCCTCATCCGCAACTAACGTGATTCACGATCAAGGATATCTTTAAGTTTTTACCAGCATAGTGCACTCCATAGTTCTTTTGAAGAGTAGTCCTGAGGCAAATCTACGCAGTGCACTGTATTGCGTAGTACGGCGCAAAAGCTTGTAGGTCGTGAAAATAGGTTTGGGAACTTTGCTTTTTAGTTTCAGAAAACGTTGGTAATAGCTTTTCTGGAAGGATTCAAGTACAAAAATTGTCAATCCTTCACTATCAGGGTTTTCCAAGTTCGGATAGAATTGATGTCTGCCTTTGGGAAATGTTTGTTTGTTGTTTAAGTGTCGTGTACTGTTCACTTGCATTTTTTTTTCAGGCGAATTTTGAATTGAAGACCATCCACAATGTTATACCAACATGAGCATTGGCAAGCCTTTGGTGTCCACCTAGCAAATCGAACTAATGCAAAGCATCATATTCAAAATTATCCATAAACGAAATAGCCCAAGTGTTTTATTTGGCTAGGAGGGCGGGTGTTAATAGATGTACGACTGTGAATGGCCACATTGCTCAGATATTTGGCATATTACAGGAAACATATATTTAGATTTATTTATCTATTCGTTCGCCTGCTGTACTACTATTCATTCGCCAAGCCCATATCTCCGCAGCCGTATGCGATAGGAGGCAGGCCGCACAAATGGCAAATGAATGCAAAAGGCTATACAATTTGGCGCTCGCAAAGTCCAAGGCTAGACGCAATGAGTGCACACCATTGTTAATGCCCAGAAGTTGCCATTACTAAAACAGGATAGCTTCGTTGATTCTACCGCAGTGGCGTACGCGTAGCGTACGCCACTGTTAAGCGTACGCGATAGAGTGCCAACAGAACGGACAGATCATCAAAGGATAGGTGCTTTAGAATGCTAATACAAGATTGGCATTAACATATTTGCACGCATCTTTATTGTTCGTAACACCCTTCGCTCATGGTTATAACCGGATGGGAAATGTGATTATTGTCAGTGTACATGATGCCGGCAGTCAAGAAAGAGGGAACCGATATAAAATGTTACACCGCTGCATTCGAAGCATATGACATTCAAAACCTGAAGCAAACGCTCCACCTTCTCCTCGCTACACTCAGCCTAATTGAGTGGAGCCGAACTTAACACACGCTCGGGTGGGGGGTCAAACTGACCCTCCCCAAGTTTGTTTTCCAAAACGGCGAGGCGCGGACGTGCCAAATTGTGCATACCTATAGACAATTGCATAGCAGATCGTGTGGCGCCAACAATTTTGATATACCCTGTAAGGTCGTTGACCTGTGGCAGGTCAAAGTCAACCAATGGTTTCATCGACGGCAATTTGAAGGGAATCGTCCAATCTGACCCAACAACGGTTAGACAAAGCCATGATTTCTGAGATGCTTTCTTAGATAGCACAACAATTAAATTGATATATTACATTGACCTAGGATTCGGTATAAAGGTCAGACCAAGGTCAAAACGAGCTTATTTTATGACTCTAGAGCTTGCTGTATGAGGCAGTTTCTGATGCTCATTTCGTACTTAGTGATATCAGAAACCGCAGCATGCACCTTCAATGGACTTCTTAAAGGTCAGAATAAGTCACCGACCTAAAATGACCCAGGTCAAAATTATTTTAGGAACATACTGTCTAGGGTTATTTTTCGCTTATTCAAATGCAAAACACAAAGGAGTCTTGCACGATTTTGGTCAACATCACCTTCAAAAGCTCAAACAATGTCACTGATCATAGATGAGCTTGTAACCTTTTGCTGAGAACAGTTATTTAGGTTCAAGAGGCCCTTTGGAGACCATCCTGAAATTTAACCTTGTTTGACTTTATTTGACCCGAAGGCCATGGCCTTGAAAACTCAAACTTTTACCTAAGTGAGTTAACCTACAGGCTAACACACTCTGTGAGTTTGGTATCTCCAGCTCTCTTAGTTCTTGAGATCTCAGGGGGGGGGGGCAAATTGACCGCCACAAGAGCGAAGGCTATCCGACCGGCCACCCGGGCGCGTGTTAAGTTAAAAAGATGCTGCATGAAAGAATCACAGGTTATTTTTGAACGCCAGGCAGCAAATCAACTGATGCATTGTTAGTAACAAAATCCTTTGACTCTACCAAGTACAAACTGCCATCGGGCTGGGCCTGTGCTGCCCCGCTGCCAGGCCCGGTGAGGACCGTCTCCGGGTCAGTCAGTTCATCCCCACGCATGCAGACAGTGAGAGGGGACAATATGGTAACGTCATACCGTGCTCCAGCATGGCGTCTAAACCCAGGTCAGCATAGCCCCACGGTCCAATCGGGACATCTCGTTTTTGTGATTGTGATTGCGATTTAGTTTGCAATTTTGACTTTACCGCACGTCCTTGCATGTCCGGGAATTGAGATCAGTACATCAGGGTCCTCCAATGTGACCATGTTTTCCGTTTGATGCGATCTGGCCAAAACTTCACCGAACGGCCACCTCATTCCATAGAAAGACAGGAGGGGAACGCTGACAATGTTTACTTCTGCTTCCAAAGGGGACACATGAAGACGCCCGCAGTGGAAATACTACGTTGTGCAGTTCTTCTGCGATAGACAATACCACGTGAAGGCAAAAATGGGCCTTTCTCTACGCACAGCGGAATGATGAACAGGAGTGTGGCACAGCAGGCATAAAAACTCAAGGATGTGTACAGCTGTCCATGGACCATACGTTCTTTTGCTTTAGGGAGCCGGGGCACGACAAAGAACTGAAAAAGAATTAGCATGACCTGACTGGATAGCATTGCCCGAAGACGCAAGATGAAGGACATTCTCATCCAGGCAACAACTACACCGCCAGTCTATGTTTCGTTTGCTTGTCCCCACTTCACCTGATTCCCAGCCCTAACAAAGCAGAGGAAAGTCCCGTCTATAAAACAGCACCAACTCGAATCCAACATGCGCCGACATGTAGCCTTGACTGAAATGAGATAAGTTGGGCGATAAAAATGTCCAAACGAGACGATAAAGTCGACTTGTCTTCAGTGGCCTCGCAACCACCGGTGCGGAGTGGCCACGACCGGCGGCTGCCCGTCATGAGACATGGGCCCGGCTATCGAGCGGGCGACAGCGGCCCCGCGACAGCGCCGGCCGTCCCCTGACGCCCCCCCCCCCCTCCCTCCGCTGCGTTCGTGACCGGGACGAACGCCGCGTGACCGGCATGCAGCGCCCCTGGTGTCGCCGCTGGCCGCTGAGCGGGCCGCCGTCCCAGCTGGCGGTCTGCTGCCGGGACCGGTCCGCTCCTACGGCCGCCGCAGGCCGCTCACCCGGGACCGGAAGGCCGGCGTGCGGTCACTGAGAGCGAAACCCAACGGGTCGCTGACCCGCCAGCAGGGGATGAAACATGGGGTCATCTCAGAGTAGAGCAGAGTAAGTCCGGTGACCAATCGCGGAGGCTTGGGCCGTCGCGATCGCGGCTCGGCAGAGCGAATTTATTGAATTGTATTGACACCTGGCTAGGAGACAGACATGCAAACCATACTAAGAAGAATGTGGTGAATTTTCACGGACTCATCAGTGAAACACTCATGCCTAGTAGTTAGTAACCTCGGCATGAGTGTTTCACCAATAAGTATATATATATATATATATATATATATATATATATATATATATGTATATATATATATATATATATATATATATATATATATATATATATTGTATCGACTATAGAGAAGCGCGATTGGCACATCTGTGGACAAGTCTCTCCCCTCACCGTCGCACTGATGGCATGCTCCAGCTCTTGCAGGCTCTGCGGATCATGCTCATGCGCCAGACTTTTAGATAGCCCTATATGGAAAGGCCCATGTGGTTCAATTCTGGCCAGTGGAGTTGCCATGGGTGCCGGCCTTTACTGACTGTCTGACTGTCCTGTCCGCACAGCGGTCATGTGCCCAGCTCAGGCCGCTCCGCGCTGGATGAGGCGAGGCGCCACCCTAATGACGTCACGCGCTTGGCATTTGGTCTGGATGCTGGAGCATGGCCCGCTTCCACAACTTGTTTAGCATTCTTTGATAGCGCTCTCCGTGCCGTCAGCGTGATGCCGT